TATTTATTCATTAAAATATACTATAATGACTACCTTTGGAATTCCTGAATGGTACAAAGTCCTCACTGATAACTGAAAGGTGATTGGGGCCATGTCTAGAGGCATTTTGTAGGAAAATCTTGACCGTTCTGAAAAAGAAATAGGTCTCTGAGACCCTATATAGAAAGTTCTACTCTGACACACATAAAGTTGTTTGCTCTATGTCAGATATGAATCAGTGGAAAACAAAGGGAAAAAAACCAAGAATTAAGGAGATGAACAGAAGATTTCAAAGGGCAGCTGAGGAGGATAAAGCAAAGTATAATAAAAGGTACAAAAAACTGGTGTCAGACAATCAAAAGGGATTAACTCCCCTGGTATTTCTTAAGTTAATACAACTGAAGAACAAATTCAAGCCCTGAGTGGCAATTCTTAAGGATGCAATGAGCAGAATATTGAGTGGTCTAGGAAGCATCAAAAGAAAATGGAAGAAGTTGGATTTTGTCTCGGAGTCACTGTACCAAAAAGAATTGGCTGACAAAGAATTTAATGAAACAACACATGATCAAGAGGTAATGGTGATGAAAGAGGAAGTTCAGGTTGGTCTGAATGAATTGTCAAAAAACAAGGTCCCAGGAATGGATGGCATACCAATTGACATATTTCAACAAACAGATGCTGCTCTGGACACGCTCACCAGGTTGTCCCAAGCAATCTAGAGGACAACTACCTGGCTAACTGACTGGAAGAGATCCCTATTTATACCCATTCCAAACAAGTGTCACATACAAACAAAGATAATTATACAAAAACAACTGGAACAGAATTTTGACAGAGAATTACCAAAAGTTAAGGCTTGGTTTAGAAGAAGCTGTGGCAATCATCACCAATGTCAGATGGATCTTGGCTAATAGCAGAGAGCACCAGAAGACTATCTCTCAGTGTTTCATTGACTATGCACAGGCATTTGACTGTGTGTATCACAACAAATTGTGGCAACTCTTGAGAAGAATGAGAATCCCAGAACACTTGATTGTGCTTGTACAAAACCTACACTTGGACCAGGAAGAAGTCACCAGAACAGAGCAAGGAAACAGTGTATGGTTCAAAATCAGGATTGTATCAGGGATGCAACCTGTCTCCGTATGTTTTGGGTCCATATGCAGAACAGATAATTGGGGAGACTGGACTTTATGAGGAGGAATGTGGCATCAGGATAGGAGGAAGACTCATCAACAAACTGTGTTATGCAGGTGATACAACTTTGCTTGCGCAAATTGAAGAGGATCTGAAGTTTTTGATGCAGAGGTCAAGGACTGCAGTCTTCAACATGAATTGAAACTCAACATCAAGAAGGCAAAGATTCTCACCACGAGACCCACTGGCAGCATTATAATAGATGGAGAAGATTGAAGTTGCTAACAATTTCAGCTTGTTCTGTTCCACAATGAACACTCTTGACACTAGCAGTCAGGAAATAAATTAAAAACAAGAAGAACAACAACAAAAACAAACAAACAAACAAACACACACACCAAATACAAAGTTCAGTGGGAAAATCTGTTGTCGAGGACTTCTCCAAAATGCTATAGAGCACCAATGTCAATCTAGAGACTAAGGTGCACCTGATCCCGGCCATGATTTTTGCAATTACTTACTAAGCATCAGAAAGCTGGATGATGACAGAAGAAGAATCAATCCCTTGAAACTGTGGTGCTGGAGAAGAGTATTGAACATAGCATGAACTTCCAAGAGATCAAACAGTTCTGGCCTACAGAGGGTAAAACCAATTTGTTGTTTGGATACAAGGCTTTTGATGCTCTGTCTCACATTATTTGGTCATGTTGCTAGGAGAGACTAGTTCCTGGAGAAGGACAGCAAGCTTGGAAGGGTGGAGGGACAGCACAAGAGAGGGAAATCCTGGATGTGAAGGATTGTCACTAATTGGGGTAATGGGGTTAGGCAGTGTTGGAGGCAGTGAGATTAACTCAGGATAGAGTAGGTTTCAGAGCTATTGTACATTGGGTCACTATAGACCTTAGGTGACTTGATGGCACATAACAACACGTGTGTGTGTGTGTGTGTGTGTGTGTGAAATAGGCCTTGATAGTACTGGCAATTTAAGGGGACATAGCAAAAATGGCTTTATATACTGTTATAAAAGAGCAGTAATACTTCTAAAAAATACATTTTACTCTACGACCACTTCCTGATAATGCATAACATACTGTGTAGTACATAAAATGTTTAATTAATAAAGATCCAAGACTTACCAAAAGTTTGCGAATGTGGCCACTCAAATTTATAGCAACTTTTCTGGTATTTGTAACTGCTCTATTATATATCAAAGTCGATGCACCCTGGTTCCAGTCTACTACAATTACATTCACATCTTCCTCATTCAGCAAAAGCATGAGGAAGTTTGGAATCCATGATGGAGCCGAGCCTGTTGGTCTGTACCCATGGATAAGCCAGATTGTTTTCTTTCCCGTGTTGAAAAGAACGTTCAGTGAGTTATCATGTTCAAATAGTGGCTGGGCACAGTTTAGATTGTTTCTTGTATGCAGCATTAAAATTACATCCATTCTGGGATTAAACAACTCTCTGAGGGAATCCTTGACACTTAACTGAGTGAATTCAAGACATGTTCTTGTAGTCTCTGGAGAAAAAGAAAAAGTCACTAAAGCTGAGAACTGGGATAAAATTTGATTCTTGCTGCTGTCGCTAAAAGCAGAATTAGTCTTGGTGAGTCAAACAGCAAAACTTTCATATCATTAGCATTAAAGTATAATTTGAATAACTACAAAGTATGATAGATTACAATGAAGCAATCTTTTGAATTGGAATAACATTACTGTTGAAATGGACTGATTAAAATTTAAGAATATTTTGTATTTATATAAAATGTTAGAAAAAATGTTAACAAGTATGACTGATATTGTTAATACCGTAGTTAATAAAGAAAGTATTGAGTACAACCATGAAAGTAGATAAAAGTATACACACACATACACATAGCATTAGGAAAATTCTATGTAAGAACCAGAGAATCAGTACATTTCACTGCAAGCCAAGGTAGATTTTACCCATATCTAGAATGGAAAATGTGAAAATAGTAACATGATTGTGACAAAGAGGCCTAGTGGCCTAGTTGTAATGTGTGTGGCTTCTAACCAAAAAGTCAGTAGTTTAAATCCGTTAGCTGCTCTGTGGGAGACAGGGATTTAGAGCCCTGGAAACTCTACTGAGGGTTGCCATGAGAATCAACTAGAAGAACAGTGGGTTTGTTTAGAGGTTTGATAATCATCATGACAAAGGTATCTTAAAATAAAGCAAGGGAGCAATTGTGCAAAGTAGCAAAGAAATATATTATCTATACAAGATATATAAATAATTCCAATAGGTCATTAAGAAAATAAACTGAAGTCTGTGGGAACAGGTGAGTGGGAGCTCTGGTGGCCCTGCACACTGCAATCCCAAGCACGTGGTTCACATCCAGCTGCAACTCCATGGGAAAAAGATGGGCAATCTCCTCCTGTGAGACTAACTCCTTCTGAAAACCAGAGGGTCAACTATGGGTTGATTCTGACTTGATGGTACACAAGAACAATAATAAGACTGCAATTCAGAAAAAGTAAAAACACAATTACAGAAAATATGTTCACATTACACATATTGGAAAAAATTTGTAAAGTTCTCATTATTATAAATCAAGGAAGAAAGAAGTTGAAAGATTATTGAAAAAAGAACAGTGATTTATAACAAAAACGATCAGTGTTCGCCTGGGAGGGATAATATCTGGGGGGTAAAAAATATGAGAAACATTTAAGGACATTCTTGCATACTAAGGTAAAAAAATTCATCACAAGTTAAAGAAAATCAGCTCATCAGACTCACCAAAATATTTTCTAAAATCTAGTATGGATTTCCATGAAAGACAAAAACATCCTATAAATATCAAATCGAAAAAATTACATCCTAAAATGAGGGGTGGAGTATAACATCAGATTTCTCTTCTTAAACAATATGTTATACAGATAAATATGTAATCAATAAAAGTTACAAATGTAAAATGTGTGACAATAATTTTATACTCTTTCCTAACATATACTATTAATGAGTAAGATAGTCTAATTTTTTTATCTTGATATTTTCCAATAAATGCTAGACTGGTTGATAACAAAATCTGACTGAATTAGTTTCAGTTGATTAAGGTAATGCCTGTGAGGCTGTTACATAAATTCTGAGCCAGAGACTCTGAATTGGGTATCCAAGATGGGAGGAAATTGTTCATCTTTCTCCTGCAAAGAAGCTGGTGGATTTGAATCATGGACATTTTAGTTAGCAGCAAAACCATATACAATGCCAAACCAGAGACAGAAGTGAGGAGCTGAATCCTTCAGCTGTACTAGTCATTTGAGTCTATTACAACCAATCCAGATTTGAGAAGTGCAGAACTACCCAAACAACTTCTCTCTTGTTCTACGCCTTAAAGCAGTAACTATTTTTCACCAAATGTCAAAATGTCACTGAGGGTTTTTTGTTTGTTTGTTTTGTTTAACATCATTGTGAAAACAGATAGTTGGTGCCATTGATAATATTGTCAGAAAAAGGGGGCCCCAGCTATTCTACTACTTGGAATATACCCTGAGAATATGAAAACTGAGGCACAAACTGAGATTTGTACACCAATGTTCATAGCAGCATTATTCACCATCACAAGAACATGGAAATAGCCCAAATGTCCAACCACAAACAAATGGATTGAGAAATTATGGTACATTCACACAATGGAATACTTTGCAGCATGCAGGAGAAATGACTTTGTAAGTTATTACCTAACGTAGGATGTACTGGAGAGCAGTATGCTGAGTAAACTCAGTCACAGAAGGATAAGTATTGTATAAAACTGTTACTGTAGAAGGAGTATAAGGATCCTAGAAGGGTGGGAGAGGCTGGAAGCAGATGTGGATGTGCAGGGGAAGGGGCGACTAATCATTGGGTTGTACAATTTGATGGGTGGGGAAGGTGAGGGAAATTGAAAGAATTTGTTCAAATCTGTATTTGTATCTTGTAAATAAACTAATGAGGAAAATACACATAAAATTATAGCCATCAAAACTCATACAGAATTTGCTGCCTGTAATAATGAATCTCTGATACTACTCTTGTCCTACTTTTTAAAGAACTAGAATTCTAGAGAAAATACATAAAAAATAGTGTTTAGAGATTGAATATACCAAGTAACAAAAGATTGTTTCTGAAAGTTGGGGAACAAGTGAGTTGAGCCCTTTAGAGGCACTTTCTAGTCTGCAGTGTATGCAGGAAGGGAGAAATAAAGAAAAGCATGGAGGTGACACAGAAGAGAAGAAAAAGAATTTCCAAGGTAGACTGTCTAATTGCTATGAGGAGAAAGAGCTGAGAAAGCTTCACAAGTGTGTCCTTGAGTGGGCTGACAAAACCCCTATACATGCTGAAGCTGTAAATCATACAGGAGGAGACTGGAGCCACTGGATTCAAACCACCAAACGCCTCATCTTAGGGTTAGCAGTGAAGCAAACTATGGACTATTCCACTAAAAACCAGAACAGCTAAACCAAAAGCGTGTTCTAAACAATATTGTATATCTATGTGCATATGCTTCCATTTTGGGAAAAGTATTCTCATTGTTATTTTAACAAGGTCATGTCAATGTACTTTAGAAAAACAAAACAAAATAACAACAAATAATCAAGTCCTTGCCATGGAGTTCAAACCAATTTATCTTTGCTGCTCCCTCCAGTGAGTTCCAAGGACTAATCTTTCTAAGTAACAAGTCCACTATCTCACCTTTCTTGCTTCTAAGCAGTGCTCTGAGTGCATTTCATACAACACGGACTTGTTCTTTCGGAAGTACATGAGATATGAAATATTCCTTGCCAATCCCACATTTCAAAGGCATCAATTTATTGTTGTTGTTGTTAGGTGCTGTCAAGTCAAATACAACCCATAGCAACCCTATGAACAACAGATCTGAGCTCTATCCTGTGCCATCCCTCATACTTCCTGACACACTGAAAGTGACTATGGCAGTCACTGTGTCAATTCACCTCATTGTGGGTATTCCTTTCCTTCACCGACTTTCTATCTTTCCATGCATGATATCTTGCTCCAACATGCAACATGCCCCAAAATATGTGAGACGAAGCTTTATCATCTTTGCCTCCAAAGAGCATGCTGGCTGCAATTTCTACAAGATACATTTTATTCTTTTGGCAGTTCATGAGATGTTCAGTTACACTTTTTCAACACCATAGCTGAAAGACCTCAGATTTGTCTTCTGTCATCCTTATTTGTAGACCAGCTCTTGAAACACATTAGCAAGTGTTCAGAAAAACCATAGCCTAAACAAGATACACTGTAGTCCTCCAACTGACATCATTGTTGTTTGTTGTTGTTATGTGCCTTCGAGTTCTTTGCGACTCATAGCAACCCTATGTACAACAGCCCTAAACCCTGCTCTATACTGTGCTAATCTCATTGCCACTGACACACCCATCCCGATTACCCCAGTCACTGAATCAATCCACCTCATAGAGGGTCTTCCCCTCCTGCACTGTCCCTCTACTCTACCCAGCATG